ATGTAATTTGCTTAGCTATTACTTTGGCTATGTTTATCTTCTGTTCCTTCTCTTCTCCCCTGGTCTCTGCTAAAATGTAAACCCAAAGCAGAGATGTCTGGCTGATTTGTTCATCATTATTTTCCAAGGGCCTAAACCAGTGCCCGTGAAAAGTCGTGTCCGACTCTTTGCAACCCCATGGGCTACAGTCCATGGCTCCTACAGCCCACCTGGCTCCTCCATCCATGGAATTTTCCAGGCAAGAGTAGTGGAGTGGGTTGCCATTTCCTTCTCCAGGAGATCTTCCCGACCCAGGGATAGAACCTGGGTCTCCCGCATTGCGGGCAGATGCTTTACCGCCTGAGCCACCAGGGAATCCCCAAACAGTGACTAGCACACAGTAAATACTCAACAACTGCCATATGAATGAATGAGTGAATGAATGGATAGACAGTAGAGTTGTCAGAAGGAGTTTTAGAGGCAGCCATGAAATTAAAAGACACTTGCTCCTCGGAAGAAAAGCTATGACAAACCTAGATAGCATATTAAAAAGCAGGAGATGTCACTTTGCCAAAAAAGATCTGTATAGTCAAAGCTACAGTTTTTCCAGTAGTCATGAATGGATGTGAGAGTTGAACCATAAAGAAGGCTGAGCACTGAAGAACTGATGCTTTCAAACTGTGGTGATGGAGAAGACACTTGGGAGTCCCTTGGACCAAGGATATCAAACCAGTCAATCTTAAAGGAAATCAGTCCTGAATATTCATTGGAAGGACTGATGCAGAAGCTGAAGCTCCAATACTTTGGCCACCTGATGGGAAGAGCTGACTCACTGGATGCTGCGAAAGATTGAAGGCAGGAGGAGAAGGGGGTGACAGAGGATGAGATGGTTGGATGGCATCCTTGACTCAATGGACATGAGTTTGAGCAAACTCAGGGAGATAGTGAAGGACAGGGAAGTCTGGTGTGCTACAGTTCACAGGGCCGCAAGGAGTGGGCATGACTAACTGAACAACAGCAACACTGGCTTCAAACCCTGGCTCCATCAATTACTACCTAGTGTCTTTGGGGAGGTGACCTCCTTTCTCTAAGCCTCAGTTTCCCCATCTGTCACATGAGGACAACAGTAAATACATCAGGAATACATCTGTCCAGTGATCAGATGAAGTGAGATACTGACCGGCCTGCAGTGGGTGCGGAGTTCATGTCGCTTGACTCAGAGCCAGATCAGACTCCCAGGTAGGACACTGGGCTCAGCAGACTAGTGCGCGATAGTGAGAAAGTGAGTTCCCTCTCGGATCAGATAGCATCTCAGAGCACTAAGTTCTTCCTCCAGTGTGTGGACACAGACTCAGGGAGGCACCCTGAGAAGGACCAGGGAGAGGGTGGGAGACCACTCTGCCTCCCCAGAGGAGGAAGGCGAGACTGGGGGTCCCAGGATCCTCCTCCTCCTGCCACTCCTGCTCGTGTGGGAGGCCAGGGACCTGCAGTGATAGCAGTTCCACTTGGAAGAGCCAAGGCATGTGGGTGGTGACCAATACACTGAGGAAGTGTGCCCATCCGGGTCCCCTGGGGCCACAGTGCCAGTGGCCCAGGGTCAGCCAGACAGAGATGGTGGGGCGCTCAGGCAGCCGCCCCCGCTCGCCCCAGCGCCAGCCACCCACCCACCCATGAGCGCACTCGCAGGCCTCTGGAGGGGCCCTCTGGCAAAGTTGTTTGCAGCTAAAATCCAAACTGCAAGTAACAGCAGGGCCAGAAGAGAAGCAGCGTGGGGAAGCAGATGGCAGCCTGTAGTGAGCACGGGCCGCCCGCCTGGGAGCCAGGTGCCAGAGGCTGCTGGGCTCGGCTGGCATGGCTGCTTCCCACGGGCGCCGGTGGGGGGCCTGGGAGCCCCTGATCCTCCCAGTCTCCTGAAGGCTGTGCCAAGACAGACCCTCCCCGCCGGGGCCTTAACTGTCTACTGGTCACCCTCCAGGCCGGGTGGGTTGAGACGATTGAAAACCACCACGTGACAGCTACTGCTAAGGGAGCCCGAAAACCACCATGTGAAGCCATGTTCTTCCTTCTAGTCAATCAACAAGCAGGAGAGAGGGGCCAGAGGATGAGATACAGACTTAGCATCAGGGGGCCCTGTGGGACCCCAGCCTGGGTCATCTGTGATAAGATTTCAGGGAAATCAAAAAACCCTGCTGGGGAAGGGTCCTAAGGTGCCCTAAACAAGGAGCCCTCTTTCCTCTTTTGCAAATGTCTTTCAATCAACAAACCTTCCCCGAGCACCTTTTATATGCAAAGCACTGCGGGGAAACACAGTGAGTGTTGCTGCAGCCCGGCCTCTGATGAGTTATAATCAGGATGCGGAATGAAACAGGGAAAGCACAACGGACAGAGGGATGCTGAGTGGAGAGCAATGCTCTAATTGTACTAATCAGCTTCCCATTACTTATAAATTGCTCTTCTCCTCTTTCTAGCTCATCCCCCTCAGAGCATGCCTGCATCCTCACAGAAGCCTTCCGACTCCAAAGGTAGACATTTTAGAGGCTAGAGGAATGGTTTCTAGATTCCTGGGGAGTCTGGATTCCAATTAACTTTCCCCCTGATTACAGTACCATTTTGAGTGAGTCACTTTTTTTTAAATGAATCGGATTAGAGGCTAAACAATCAATGACATAAATTTCTGGCTTGCAACATCATGTTAGAAGCTCCCAGGCAGTCCTTCTCCAGCTTGCACTAACACACCCAGGAAAGGTAAGTGAATCAAGGGTATGCCAACACCAGCACAGAAGCGATCTGACACTCAACCTACAGTCAGGCTCCCCTCTGAAGACAGGCAAGTGGGATGGATGAAACGGGTGTCACCAGTCCACCCACCTGTCTGCTTGGCAGGGGGGCAGGGTGCAGAATCAGGGCTGCCCCTAGGTGGCCTTCCTGGTGTAGCATGTCTACGAGTTTCTGGTGCCCTCTCTCCTTCAACTCTGTCTTTATGGATGGGACACAGATTCCCAGAAAATAACTAGGTGGGAGTGGGAAGGAGCTGGCAATGGTGAGTTGCATCTGGGAAGGTATATTTTCTCCAAGTAAAGCTCAATTGTGGGAGGGTGGGGAGGACCAAACCAACTGGCTGAAGTTTTCCAAGTCCTCCCTAGTTCTGAGGGCCAGAGGGTCAGGTCCCAGAGAGTCAAAGTGCCTCAGAGGAGGAGCAGAATTCCAGACAAAGGAGAGGGGCTGTGGGCGGCCCTTGCACAGCCTCAGGTAAACCTTGGACCTGCAGAGCTCACAGCATCAGAAGGGGTGAAGGCACAGGTGCAACCACCAAGACCAAACACAGGAAACCATCAAACTCAGGCCAAAAACAAAGAATCAAGGACATGAAAAGCTTTATGGTTTTCCATAATGAAGAGAAGAATAAAAAGAACTTGGAAATGATGAATACAGAAGACAGAGAATGGAAATGTACTCTTCAAATTAAAAGTGCTCCCAGGGGGACCTTCTGAGATCCCACATGCTGCAACTAAAGACCCTGCACACAGCAATGAACATCCAGCAGGGCCAAATAAGTAAAAATAATAAATTTTTAAAAAATTTGCTCCCCAAAAGAACGCAGAAGAGTTTCGGAACAAAGCAGTAAGCAAAAACATAATTGAAAAGCTTTCCTGAATCGAAGACCCAAATACATTTGTCCTAGACAAAAATCAATGAAAATGACCTAGGCCTAGTCAGATAAAATTATTAATTTCCAAATATAGACATAAATAATATACCAGGTTATTAAAAAGGGAATAAAAGCATAAGCCTGGCTTCAGACTTCTCCCTCATGTCTCCGTTCTTGACTGTAAAACTACTTTATGCTGAGAATCAGATCTTGTCTGCCTGCCTTCTCCTGTTCTAGCTTTGACTTCAGGGCATGTGTCTGCCTGCGCCTGGAAACTGTCTTCCCTGCATCCTGTCACGTACTGCATCCTGGAAACTGTCTTCTGGGTCACAAGGTCCCTCTTGGGGTTCCTCAGGGGTGCCTGATGTGCTAGTTAACCGGTCTACTGGGGACGTCCCTGGTGGTCCAGTGGCTAAGACTGGACTGCTCCCAATACAGAAGCCTGGGTTTGGTCCCTGGTCAGGGAACTTCCCTGGGGCTCAGAGAATAAAGAATCTGCCTGCAATGCAGGAGACCTGGGTTCGATCCCTGGGTGGGGAAGATCCCCTGGAGAAGGGAAAGGCTACCCACTTTAGGATTTTTGCTTGGAGAATTCCAAGGACAGAGGAGCCTAGTGGGCTGCAGTCCATGGGGTTGCGAAGGGTCGGACACGACTGAGTGACTAACACTGGCACTCACAAGGAACTAAACCCCACATTTCGCAACTAAAGATCCCTAATGCTACAATGAAGACTCCAAGTGCCGCAACCAAGACCTAGTATGGCCAAATATGAAAACAAACAAAACAGTCTATTTAGGGCTGTCTCAATCCCTTTTCTGTGTCTTTAAATCTTGAACATATATCAGAGTTTATTCATTTACCAACAAGGAGACCAGGAAAGTGACCAAGGAACATGCCTGATTCACAGAGGGAATGGAAATGAGGTGGGACAGGCAGCTGCCAGGCTGAATGCTTATATAAGCGGCTGATTTAATTAGATAAGGACTGTAGTTTCATGTGGTCACAAAAACATCATCTTCATGGCAGTTAGTAGAGTGGAAATCAGGGGTCAGGGACTCCTAGCTGTTGGGAGTGCCAACCAGGGATCAAAAGTAAAAAAAAAACAATTAATAAGAAGCAAATGATAAGGAAACATCTGTGGCTGTTAATGGGAATAACAAGGTTTACTGGTCTAAAAAATTACCAAAGTATCATTTGATTGAGTTTTCAAGTTCATTAATAACATTTTTCATTTCTAGAAATGAAAATGGTTCATTTGGTTATTATTTTTTTTCCAAATTTGCTCACTCATTTTTCAAATGTCCTATTGGTTCAATTTGATTTCTATTGCTTCTCTTATCTCTTTACTCAACTTAAAAACTTATTTGGACTTCCCTGGTGGTCCAGTGGTTAGGACTCTGCATTTCAACTGCAGGGGGCATAGGTTCAATCCCTGATCAGGGGACTAAGATTCCATAAGCTGCATGGTGCAGTCAAAAAAATGAAAAGTAAATTAAAAATTCAAACATTTCTTTCACAGTCTCACTATTATTTCAAGTTCCTTGAGTACCAGTTCTCCTAGTTGTTACATTTGCCTCCTCTCCCTCCTGGTGGCTCTTTGCTTGTGTGATCGGTTAGACAACAGACAGCAAACTCACAGAATTTTGAGTGGGAAAGATGACCATTAATTACATTATCAGTCAAGTCATTGTCTTTTTTCGTATAAAAGCAACAGCTATCATCAGACTAGTAAAAGACTCAGAAAATACACTGTCCATATGTCATTACTTTTGCATGTACCAGCAAACTATAAATCAACAGGAATATCTCAAGGGTCTATAAGAAAAGAGTGAGGACTTCCTGCATGGTCCAGTGGTTAAGAATCTGCCTGCCAAGGCAGGGGACGTGAGTTTGATCCCTGGTCTGGGAAGATCCCACATGCCTTGGAGCAACTAAGGCCATGCACCACAACTCCTGAGCCCGGGTGCTGCAACTCCTGAAGCCCATGAGCCTAGAGCCTGTGCCCCACGACAGGAGACGCCACTGCAACGAGAAGTCCGCATGGCGCAACAGAGAGCAGCCCCCGCTCGTCCCAGCTAGAGAAACCCCATGCACAGAGACAAAGACCCAGCACAGCCCAAAATAAATAAATAAGATTTAAAAGAGGGACTATACGTACTGATGTTTATTTTTCCCTTCTAAGTATCCATTCTGAGGACAGAATCTCAAATGTAGGCAAAGAGCTAAGTACACAGATATATAAAGCAATTAGCAATGAGAAGGAAAAAAGGAAATAACTCAGGTGACCTAAATTAGCAGAATATCCATATGACAGAATGTTTACAAAGAATTATTGATTACACTGAGAAGTGCTTACGTTAAAGTGTTAATTTTAAAACAGAGGTTCAACAATACAAAGAAAAAAAGACACAGAAAAAAGAAAGCAATTACGCCAAAACATTAACAGTTATTGCCTCTGGATGGTAAGATTATGAATTTTGGGGGTGCGTGTATTTCTTTATGCTTTCTACACATTGTGAGTGTCAATGATCCATATTAATCTTAAAATCAGAAAAGAGTAAAATGTATATATTTTTTAAAGTGAAAACTTCTAAGGGTCACAAGTCAAGAACTGAAATATCTGGGATAATGTTAAATAAGAAAGATGAAATATCATGATACTAACTCTGACATTACAGTCTATAATTTATTCTCAACACAGCAGCCAGAGTACCCTTTAAAACTTGGGGGAGTACTCAGGTCATGCCTTTCCTTTACTCCAAACCTCCAAGGGCTCCCCATTTCACTCAGAATAAAAGCCAAAGTCTTTCCAAGGGTCTCCAAGGACCAAAATGATCTGGGCCCCCCGGCCACATCTCTGACCTCCTTTCCCGACTCTGACTCTGCGCCAGTCACACTGTTCTCCTAGCTGCTCTTCAAACCTACCAAGGACACACCTGCCTCAGGGCCTTTGCGCTTGCAGTCCTCTCTACTTGGAATGCTTTCTGTCCACACAGCCACACAGTGCGTTTCAGACCTCAGCTCAAAAATCCATTTTATCAGTAAGCCCTTCCTCAACTCCTGCATTTAACAGCAGCGACCCCCGTCGCCCCTTCCCCTGAGTACACTTTCATCATCTGTGACATGGCAGAATTTACTGTATTGCGCGTGTGGTTTCCATCTCCCATGAGAAGAGCTCTTTGCCTGGCACATAGAAGATGCTCAGTAAATATGCATTGAGTACCCAAAGGAATAAATGAGATAGTAAACTCCTCTGGAGCAGAAGGGCCGAAGCTGACACCGCCGCATCGCTGAGGTGCACACAACGGGCAGCGGCGCCCACTGGACGGCCCCAGGGACGTGTAACCAGCATTCAGCTCACTCCAGAAAAATCACTTGCAATTGCAGACCAAGATGACAGAAGGGAAGAGTCAAATGGAACAGAAGATAAGAGTGTTGGGGCTGAGCGGTAAGAGAGCTTCCAGCAAAAAATGCAAGTTCTTCCACTAGGATGTGTTTGTGTTTTTGTTTGTCTTTTTCTGTAGGACAGAACTCCACATTTTTATCACAGATTCAGAACCAGTTCTATGTGGCACTGAAAATGACATTTCAAATGCTCTATTTAGCTATCTCTTTGTTGTGATTAGATAGTTTTCTGTGGAAAAAAAGCATTAGGAAACCAATTACTCTGTCACTCTCCCACCCCAAAAGGAGGCAGGAAAATGCAGCATCTGGGTATGGTACTCACAGGCACCCAGACTCAGACACACGGACTTTCAGGGCCCACCCACACCTCCTAAACATCTAGTCTGCCTGGTCCCGCGGAGGGGGAATACAGCATCCTTGATCTTGCTCCATTTTATCGGCCTCTAGAAATTCAAGGGCAAACTGATAGCATAGTGCATAGCCTCATATTCTCTGCCGTAGGAAAGATAAGAAAATTCATCCTAAGCTATTTTGGACTTTTGTGGGTGTTGGAGCGCTCTGGAGATTAGGACGGGCTGGTGGTGGACGCTGTCTCTGGGAGCTCAGGACTGTTAATGAGTTGAGGGGTACTTGTGATGGGGCTGGACGGGGGCAGCTGCTCCCCCACTAAGCCCTCCACGAAATTATTACATTTGCTGAATTCATCTTTTCTTTCATTCCTCCTCCCTTTCCTTGACAATTCTTTCATCTCTGTCCTCCCACACCTCAGTCGTGTCTTTTCATCCTGCTCAGGTATCTCCCACAAGATACTGTTTTAGGAAATTTTCCTATCTTGTGAATGCCTGCGTCTTTTTAAAACATTTTCTATTGGAGTATAGTTACTTTACAATGTTGTGCTGGTTTCTAACGTATAGCAAAATGAATCAGCTACATATATATACACACATGTATCCCCTCTTTAGGGGGGATGCCTGCATCATAGAAGGGACCCCTTGAAGACCAGAAAGACCTCAAATTCAAAGGGGGGTTTTCCAGCTGGGTGAGAGAGGAGGGCCTCTAATATTGATAGAGTACCTATTCCAGGCTGGACATCCTAGATACTTGGTGTACTGTTAACAATGTTCCTAAATTCTCACAGTATCTCCAATGAAATAGGTATTATCGTCTCCATTTCAACAGGAGAAATCAAGGACTTCTGGGCAATAGAGTGTAGAATGTTAGTTCACACCTAGGGGTCCTGCCTGCTATCTTCCCTGTTTCAAAGATGCAACCAGTGATATATGAAGATTCCAACAAAGAAGCTCAACTGGGCTCAAACACAAGATTTACATCTTGATGGATTAGAAACTCCCAATATTTACAATTTTGAGGGGCTAAAGGCACAGCCTGCTGGGCTCAGAGTCCGGAGGCAGGTGGAAGCAGCTGGAAGACTGGTCTTTCAAGGGTATGGGGACTGAAAGTGTCCCGTGGAAGGTGGGGGACCAGAGCCAGAGTTCCTGAGAATGGAGGCTGGTCATTCTCCACTTGGGAAAGGAGGCTGAAAGAAGCAGAGGTACCACTCCACCCCTCTCCTGAGAGTAAAGCTGATCTACGGATGTGAACACTGATGTAGGCTGGAAGAAGTACACACATAGCCAGGACCTGGCCAGACTGCTTATGGCTTTGATGTTGGACTTCAGGGATAATCCCATTATTACTGCGGATACACAGCTCATCACTAACCCAAGAGAGCTGGCCCTGCACTAGGGACCTAGGACCTAGGTGGAGGCAACTCGAAATCACTTGGCAAGGAGAGCTGGGTGGAGGTGATGCACAGGGGCAGAGAGACAGAGAAACTGACTCCCACTCAAGATGAGTGGACAAACCTCAATTCTAAAACACTCTATCGTGAGAGAGACAGCCAGCAAAGATTTAGTGAGCTGGAAGGCAGTTCTGAAGAATTTGCCAGCAAGTATCTCAGAAAAGATAAAGAGAGGACGTCCCTAGGTTCAGTGGTTAAGAGTCTGCGCTTCCACTTCAGGGGGCATGAGTTCAATCCCTGGTCAATTGCTGAATTCATCTTTTCTTTCATTCCTCCTCCCTTTCCTTGACAATTCTTTCATCTCTGTCCTCCCACACCTCAGTCGTGTCTTTTCATCCTGCTCAGGTATCTCCCACAAGATACTGTTTTAGGAAATTTTCCTATCTTGTGAATGCCTGCGTCTTTTTAAAACATTTTCTATTGGAGTATAGTTACTTTACAATGTTGTGCTGGTTTCTAACGTATAGCAAAATGAATCAGCTACATATATATACACACATGTATCCCCTCTTTAGGGGAGATGCCTGCATCATAGAAGGGACCCCTTGAAGACCAGAAAGACCTCAAATTCAAAGGGGGGTTTTCCAGCTGGGTGAGAGAGGAGGGCCTCTAATATTGATAGAGTACCTATTCCAGGCTGGACATCCTAGATACTTGGTGTACTGTTAACAATGTTCCTAAATTCTCACAGTATCTCCAATGAAATAGGTATTATCGTCTCCATTTCAACAGGAGAAATCAAGGACTTCTGGGCAATAGAGTGTAGAATGTTAGTTCACACCTAGGGGTCCTGCCTGCTATCTTCCCTGTTTCAAAGATGCAACCAGTGATATATGAAGATTCCAACAAAGAAGCTCAACTGGGCTCAAACACAAGATTTACATCTTGATGGATTAGAAACTCCCAATATTTACAATTTTGAGGGGCTAAAGGCACAGCCTGCTGAGCTCAGGGTCCGGAGGCAGGTGGAAGCAGCTGGAAGACTGGTCTTTCAAGGGTATGGGGACTGAAAGTGTCCCATGGAAGGTGGGGGACCAGAGCCAGAGTTCCTGAGAATGGAGGCTGGTCATTCTCCACTTGGGAAAGGAGGCTGAAAGAAGCAGAGGTACCACTCCACCCCTCTCCTGAGAGTAAAGCTGATCTACGGATGTGAACACTGATGTAGGCTGGAAGAAGTACACACATAGCCAGGACCTGGCCAGACTGCTTATGGCTTTGATGTTGGACTTCAGGGATAATCCCATTATTACTGCGGATACACAGCTCATCACTAACCCAAGAGAGCTGGCCCTGCACTAGGGACCTAGGACCTAGGTGGAGGCAACTCGAAATCACTCGGCAAGGAGAGCTGGGTGGAGGTGATGCACAGGGGCAGAGAGACAGAGAAACTGACTCCCACTCAAGATGAGTGGACAAACCTCAATTCTAAAACACTCTATCGTGAGAGAGACAGCCAGCAAAGATTTAGTGAGCTGGAAGGCAGTTCTGAAGAATTTGCCAGCAAGTATCTCAGAAAAGATAAAGAGAGGACGTCCCTAGGTTCAGTGGTTAAGAGTCTGCGCTTCCACTTCAGGGGGCATGAGTTCAATCCCTGGTCAGGGAACTAAGATCCAGCATGTTGCAAGGTGTGACCAGAAATTAAAAACAGAAAGATAAAGAAATAAATGAGAAAGCACAGTTGGGAGCTATGGAGGATGCACGAAGGGGCTCAGAAAAGTATCTTGCAGGGTTTCCAGGAGACTCAGATGGCAGGGCAGCAAGATTCAAGGATGTCATGGCTGAGGACTTTCTGTAACTAAAGACATTTTACGGATCTTGGATGAAAGGCGCATATTAATCACCGAGCAGATAAGTAAAAAAGTAAATCCACATTTGGATAGCCTGGAGGATCCTCCCTCCACCTGACTCCTCCTGTTCCTGAAATTTCCGACCGGTGACCTTCCCCAGGAGCAGCCCAACAATGTCCTTCACTGTTCTGGCCCCGCTTCCCATCCTGGTACCGAGAGGAAAGTCCTGGGTGTGGGGGTTAGGAGACGTAGGTTCGAGCCTCCCCATCTGTTTTCACCTCAGAGTCCTCACTGAGCCTTGATTTCTTCCCTTAAAATGGGACCAGAACTAGAATGATGGAAACAGAACCAGAAGGGACTCTGGGGACAGCGTCATCTCAAGACTATGGTGTTAGACCTGCTATCTATCTCGGTGACCATAAGATGCTTAACCTCCTGCATCCGCATTTCCCTATCAATAAAAGGGGATGATAATAGCGCTCGTCTATGGGGTTGTATGGGGGTTTTCCAGATGGCGCTGGGAACCTCCCTGCAAATGCAAGAGACTTGGGTTCGATCCCTGGGTTGGGAAGATCCCTTGGAGGAGGGCGTGGCAACCCACTCCAGTACTCTTGCCTGGAGAATCCCATGGACAAGGATCCTGGCAGGCCACAGCCCATAGTATCACAAAGACTCAGACATGACAAGCGACTCAGCACACACATGGGGCCGTCCAGGGATGAAATGAATTCCGACATGTAAAGAACTGCGCATGGTGCCAGGCCCAAAGTAAACTTCAGCCCGGAGCAGCCGTTTCTGTTACGATAAACACAGTCCCCCACAAAATGCCACCTGCACCTACACTCAGTGTGGGGGGCTCCCTGAGGAAACCGAGGACCCCAGGCAGAGCAGAACTCGGGCCCACTGCCGCTCTACACTGGGGAACGCCAAGCCAGCAGACTGCCCCTCCCCACCCTCGCCCCTGGCTGCCCTGGGTAGGCTGCCCTCCTTGACCTCCTGCGAAGCCCCTCTAAGCAACCAGCCGTGAACTTCCCCCAATGCCAGTGTGCCCCGCCCCGACCTGGCCGGTCCCTCCCCGCTCCCCACGGCCCAGGCACCCTACCTCTCTCTGCTCACTGCAGATCTTACACAGCCACAGGGGCCGCTTCTGGCCGGGAGAGGCCTCAATCCCGCATTTGGTGCAGACTTTCTACAAGAGAGAGGACACAGGAATGTAAATACTCAGTCCCTTCCTGCCCAACTAAGGGGCTGGGAATAATATAACTCAGGAGCACTTGTCATCTTCTGAGGGGATGGTTTTTGCTTCAGGCCCCAAGGGGAGATGACCCGAAGGACACAGGTCATCTGAAACCAGCAGCTGGCTGTGGGGCACGAAGTATGTATACCCATCCTTGGATGGCCGCGATAGAAATCCACCCCCAACAAGTACATCTTGTTGGGATCACATCAAAGAAATAAGCTTGCTGAGAGTCACAGCTGCATCACGTTCAACAGCAAGGAACTGGAAATAACCCAAACGGCCAGTACCAGAGGCGGAGCAAACACAACCAGTGGGATACGGCCTTCACACAGCAGACTGTGTCGGCCCCCTGGGAATGCGGGCAGGAATGACGTTATTCAACAAAGAGAACATACACATGGATATAACCATGCAGGCACTTGTGTGCCTGACAAGGTGAAGCGATGATGTAGTGAGAAATACCAGTGCCCGCTTAGGCACTTCCTGGATGCCAAGGCCCTTCATTTAACCATCCCAGCCACCCCAGTATACATAAGAATTGGGCCCATCTTGCAAGCAGTAGTTTGAGAAAGTCCTCACGTTCACACAGCAAGTAACAGACTCAGGTCTGCCTCTTGAGCTGTTATATAACAGCCTCCGGACACATAAGTAGCCAGAACCTAGTTTCTGCGGCGTTTTTCCTTCTACAGAATTGCTTAAGCTCATCACTTCTAAATACGTATTTTGCTTCCTCCAAATGCACAGCCACAAGCAGCAGTGGGAAAAGCCAGATGAAACGCACCAGGAGGCAGAGGGGGACTTGGTGGGGGCTGAGACCTCGTCCCGGCTAACCCGGCAGAGTCTGATTAGGGGACAGTGTGTCCTCCTTACAGAACAGTCACACCAGCTAATCAATTAATCTTTCTGTCGCCTGGAAGCTGCCCGGTCCCTGCAGGGTGGGGCGCTCTCTCCCTCTCCCTCCCCCCTCCCCCTAAGGGAAGGCTGGATCCCTGGCTTGGCCTTTTCTGCAGGCTGCCAACTGAGCAAGGAGCACACCTCTCTGCCGAGAGGGAAATGTCACCAGCTTGGCTTCCCCAAGCATGTTGTCACCACCTGATGGGGGTACTGAGCCTCAGGAGGCAGGGAGCCAGTTCGTGGCAGGAGGGAAGCTATGATACATAGCAAGGGGGGGTCTGCACTGGCCTCCATTCAATGCTCAGATACAAGAGACGTCACTTTTCTTTGATTTCTCCAAATGCATTGTAACCTGCTCCAAGCTCAGGTCCCTCTGGGTTGGCAGGACAGTCCACCCCAGTCTGATTGGGCCTGGCTCTCACAAAGATCTCAGGCTTGAGGTTTTGGCAGTGCAGTACGTCTGGGAAGGGTCCCCTGGGTGCTGTGGGGCCCAGCCACTCCTGTGCCAGGCCTGGGCTGGGATCTGTGCCAGGCTGGGGCTTGGCCTCTCTGGGGGCCCGCAGACTGTCTGCCTGGAGCTCCAAGTCATCAGCCCTGACCTGGTTTGGAGAGCTCCCTCCCCACCTAGAGCCGCCTCTTGTTGCCCTTACCAAAGTTCGCCACAACCCTTCTACCTCGAGGACAGGGCCCCCCATAAGCCCATAAGTTGGGCCTCAGGAAACACACATGGGCCCCTCCTCCCTGGGGTAAAGAGAGGAACGAGGTGCTGAAGCCACTTGACAGTTTTTCTTGCTCATTCCCATGACCTTGTGTAGATGAGGGAGTGTGAGCCGGCCACCACTTTGACTCAGTGCAAAGGGAACACTGCACAGTCGTGTCCAGGACGGCCAGGCCTGGGGGAGGCCACTAGCTTCCCTGCCGAGTGGGCTTCCACTGAGCGGAATTGCGAGTGAGCGCGGCTTCTAGGGGTTGACTGTCTCATGCTTCCTGCAGCCTGAAACCCCGGCTGAGCATTAGACGAACCAAGTCTCGCTTCTGGGCCTAACTCAGACGCTCCATGTGTTCCTTCTGCAAAGGTGCATCCCGGCCCAGAACGTGCTCAGGGAAAGGGGGGTGGCTCAGGGTGTGGCCACAGGATATAGGCTCTGCGGCAGGAGAGCAGAGTCTGCCATGTAGAGGCACCCTTAGACTTGTCACTAACCTTCTCTGGGCTTTGTTTCCTTGTCCTGAAAACGGTGGTAACAAGCAGGTGCATGCCACCACTGGGCGGATCAAGGGAGCTGATTCACATAAGTGCTCACTAGCACAGTACATGCTAAGATGCCAGGCAGTAACCAGAGTCCTGCATGGCAGTCTCAGTAAAGGATACCACACCCATCAATCAAATAGGCCAAAACCCAGGATCATCCTTGATCCTCACTCTCCCTCATACCCACCTAAACAATCCATCTCCAAGAACTCTAAATCTCACTCAAACTGTCTGCTCCCCTCCACCACCCTCCCCATCCACACCTCCCTCCCTGTGGCCTCAGCTCATACCCCTCTCCCCCTGCTCCACTGCCTGGCCCTCCACTCTCGAGCCCCAGCCATGCTGACCTGACTTCAGGCCCTGGTCCTCTATCTGCTTTTCCTGCCCTGGACTGTGGCACGTGCTGCTTGCTCCATCTGAGATGTACTTGGTCACACTTTTTCCTTATCAGCCTGCGCATCCTTCAGACCTCAGCAAAGGCACAGCTCCTTCAAGGAAGCCTTCTCTGACTTCTTACCCAGTTGGAGCTTCCCTACCAGGGACTTGCCTCTTCTCCTCCACCGAGATCTTATCCTCATCCTTGTGGCTATGTAACTACAGTCACTTCCCCTACCTGGCTGTGAGCTCCTAGAGGACAGAGGCCACGCCTGTTTCTGTTCACCCCCCTGTTTCCAGTATCCGGCATCATGAATTGTTGTAGAATAAACGAATGAGCAAAAAAGAGCTACTAAAAAAAAAAAAATCTAACGAATACATTTATTTGGCTGTGCTGGGTTTTAGTTTTGGCATGGGGGATTTTGTTCTCTGACTAGGAATTGAACCCATGCTCCTGCATAAGGGAGTACGGAGTCTTAGCCACTGGACCACCAGGGAAGTCCCCTAAGAAGAGCTACTTTTAATATTACACCTCAGAAGGCAAGACGGGGTCCCTCCTGGAATGTGCTGACCAGCTTGGGGGAAGAGACACACAGAGACAGGAAATACTCCCTTGGCAGCTGGGGGGGAGGAATGCCTGGTCCATACTGAGTGACGCTGAGTGGTGGGGCGATGGGAGACCAGACCAGGAGGAGCCTCGTTCGGGGTGGAGTGTTGGGGTAGGGGGTGTGGGATGCTGCCTGTTGGCTTCACTCTAAGTGTAGAGCATGAAGCCAGGCTGACCTGCCCACAGAGGAAACGACACCACTGGTCCTTTACTAAGAGTAGGGGGCAGGAATGTGTGCCCTGACCTCCACATGACCACTCCTGATTGCCCCCCTCCCCCAGGAATATCCTGCAGGCCACCTGTGAATGCAGACTGGGTCCAAGGTCTGTGGGGCACCCTCCTCAGCATCGTCATAATCCAGGCTACTTTGGTTACCCCAAGACTCCCTGGAACCCTGCCCTCCATCCAACATCATCACCCTCGCCTTCCCACACTGCCAGCCAGAGTCAAAGGTGCAACAAGGTCTGGGGGACCACAGAGCTCGGGCACCTCACTTTCAGGCCGGCCTTCACGTCCTCACTGGGAGACCCCGGCTCATTCTACGCAGAGCCCCCCTTCTTCTTGGCGGGTCCCCAAGTGAGAAGTGAATGTGAAAGTCATTCAGTTGTGTCCGACTCTTTGCGACCCCATGGGCTATACAGTCCATGGAACTCTCCAGGCCAGAATACTGGGGTGGGTAGCCTTTCCCTTCTCCAGGGGATCTTCCCAACCCAGGGATTGAACCTAGGTCTCCTGCATTGCAGGCAGATTCTTTACCAGCTGAGCCACAAGGGAAGCCCAAGAATACTGGAGTGGGTCGCCTATCCCTTCTCCCGGGNAGAATACTGGAGTGGGTAGCCTATCCCTTCTCCAGGGGATCTTTCTGACCCAGGAACTGAATCAGGGATCTCCTGCATTGCAGGTGGATTCTTTACCAACTGAGCTATGAGGGAAGCCCAAGGCAGGGTCCCCAAGCTGCCACCAACTAGAAGGGAATAGGTGCTTAATTTTGCACAGCAGGAATAGAGATGCGGACATATAGAACAGATTTGTGGAGCCAGTGGGGGAAGGAGAGGGTGGGATGAATTGAAAGAGTAGCATCAATACATATATATTGTTGTACTGCTGTTTAGTCCCTAAGTTGTGTCCAATTCTTTTGTGACTGCCAGGCTCCTCTGTCCATATATAAAATAGATAGCTAATGGGAAGAAACAGCAAGCTCTGCCCAGTACTCTGTGACAACCTAGAGGGGTTGGATAGGGTGAGAGTGGTTCAAGAGGGAGGGAACATATGTAAAAATAAATTAATTTTTAAAAAAAGAAGGGAACGGGCACGGTGCCTGCGTGTAGGAGGGAACGAAAAGGCTTGCACCCTTCCAGGAGCACTTGGTACCCAGCAGTGAGCCTCTCGACAGGCCCTGAAGGCTTCACCACGACATCAACATCCATCACAGAGAGAGCGGTGTTCCTGACGCTCAGCCAACCAGAGAAAGACGAAATTGCGCTCAAATGTTTCATACAAGGAGGCTGGAAAAACGCACACTGTGCAGAAATTAATAATGAAGGTGGTTAATTTGAAACTATTTGGTGCTTCAAGTCAAGAAGCATTGACTCAACAACTGGATGGAAGGCAATGTTCTAGGAACGAGGAGGATGAACAAGGCATGGCCCTTTGTCTCCACTGAGGGTCCCATTAAGTGGAGGACTTAATGAATGAGCCAAATTCACCTGGAAAAGGACTTGCTTGAGTTTCAGCCAACTGAAGTTTATCACCGAGACGGTCTCCCTCTAGGAACCAGGCAGCAATGATGTTCCCAGAGTGGTCGCTCCCCCATTCCCCACCCCAGGAAAGCAGGGGAAAGAAATGGCTACGTCCAGACAACCATCAAAGCACAGGCAGGAACAACGCGAAGAAGTCAGCCCACACGTGTGTACTTTATGTCACCCAGCGTGTCCCCAGCACTAGAATTTGAATCTTCAACAGCAAGAAAAATCTGACTGTGTTTTGGAGAAAGGTACTCTGGAATAAAAATGATGATATAAATGAAAGAAGTGAAAATGGTCATGATGGAACCGTGTATTTACTGACATGGAAAAACGTTCACAATAAATGAAGTTTTGAAAGCAAGTTATAAACAGAAAGTCTAGTGTGTTTCTCTACCATATACATATATATGTGTTTGTAGCTGTCTAGAAGTCCATACGTGCACAGAAAAATACCTGGAAGGAATAGGCCAAAATATACATTGAATTGTGCTACATCAAAATCTATTTTAAATGGGTAAGCAGAATTCCTATTTAAAGGAAGCTTATACAAAATGCTTTCAGAAATCACTTGCCCCAACTTCAATTTTTGACCGGATATGGATTTTTGTGGGTCAGGATGGATTAAAGAAGCTGAAATCACATGCACAGCTGCCTCCAATGCCCAGACCTTGCAGCTGGGGCCAATGGGTCAGCAACCCCTCTGATCACAGCTTCGGCCCTGCTCAACCCCGAGACATTGACCAGGCTTCGAGGTACATCACCAGCCCTGGAGGGCCGGGAGTGTAGGGGCTACACGTGGCCTCCTTGCCGCAGAGAGACTTGGTATCTGAAACCTGGGGCCTGTTGCCAAATGACTTTAACTAGATACTGATGTATTGGGTTGGCCAAAAAGTTTGTTTGGGTTTTTCTGTAAGATGTTATAGACAAATCTGAGTGAACCTTTTGGCCAACCCAATATATCTTATAAATACTTACATACTTTATTGAGCCTGGTTGCTATACCAAGCGTCAAGGTAGGTGTTTTATGCAGAATCTCATTTCATTTTCACAACTACCCTAGAAAGTGGGTATCATTGTCCCTGTTTTATTAAGTCAGGATCTGAGGCTTGGGGCTAAGTAACTTGACCACAGGGAACTGGGATGTGAACCCCATGCTGTTTGAGTCCCAGGTCTCTGCCCAGACAAGACTTATCCGAGGCTTCCTTCCTCACTGGCAGCTCAAATGCAGGCAAGGCTGGTTCCCTGGGCCCTGGCCCCTCCTCCAGAACTCCAGATTCGGTCAAGCCTCAAGTGGCAGAGGGCATAGTGCCCTCTGGTCACTGGGACAGAGCCTGGGGGCCAGTGGGGCAGAGGGCATGCTGACCCAAACCCTGACTGCTACAAATACTGAGTCCCCAGGGCCCTAAGATGCACAGTCTTAAGAATGCCAGCCACCTGCTGCTTGGCCTGAGGCAGAAGCCAGGAGGCAATCAGAGAAGAGTTTCAGAAGGAAGGCAAGTCTCTCTGTGCTTTCCACCCCAGTCCTGTGCCGGGGACAACCAGCCGTCCTGCATCCTGGCTGCAGGTGGCAGGTGCCTAACCCACGGCAGGGCCGGGCCTCCTCTCTGTGCTGCCTGCTCTGAGTGGGCCCTCCCCCGCTCACCACCAGGTGAGCCATTGATGCTCCTTGGGGACCACCTGCTAACCCCAACCCTGGGCAGCCCCCAGCCGCCAGCCACC